AAGCAGGGATGGTGACTGGTCAATACTGGATGCAAAACCACACAGACATGAGGCAAGACAACATGCTCCTCTGCCACATAATCACATACCCTGAATACAGCAGAAAGGTCAAATACCTCATTTTGGAGGCAAATGGGCCAGATTCATTGAAGGGATAACAGGTAGATATTTTTCTTGAATGCCTTCTGGCTGAGGTGGTCTGGATTAGCTCTTAGGGAGCCCATGAACACCAGTCCTGACTGAACCAGAAAGGTCATGGCTTCCTCCCCTGCAAAAAAACCCAACCCTTATCTTACTCTTACTCTTCCTTAAGGCAATAAGGAGCCCTTAAAGCCTCTGGCACAGGTGACTAGGTCTGCAGATTGAACTTGGGTCCTCATCACAACATGTAGAGTGTCACCTCCAGAAGCATTCTGCCAGCGCTCCCCATGCATCCCAGTATCTGCGTTCCCTTCCTCAACACCCTCCCTGGAACGTTCAGGTGGAGGACTGAAGGGCTGTCTCAGAGCCTGCCCACAATGTCTGGAAAAGCTACGGTAGATCCTCTGTCCCTCTGTGCTTTCCAACAGTGAACTCTCTCCTGCACCCCTCCCCGAGGCTGAGCAGGCAGGCTCTGCTCCTCCGCAGCCTGCTGGTGCTTCTGGCAGTTCACTTGCTTCACACATTTCAGCAACGGTGCAGGGCAATTTCCCAGTAACTGTAACGGGAGGACTCCTCCAGCATGCAGAGGTGGTTCCTGACCCTGGCAGTAGCTGCAGTGTCCTGAACCATCACTGCACAGCACAGCTGAGGTGCCTCCCATCCTTCTCAAGCCGGTGTCCCTTATCACAGGTTCAACAGTACAAACGGTGTGAGGTCTCATCTCACTTCAACTAGGTTTGCAATATCTGGGCAGATATATTTACTGTAGTGACTCAAAGGATAAACTAGAAATAAATAAAGGTGAACTGGCCAAACTAATGTGTATGTTCTATGCCATATAGACTCTTCCCATATGTGGACTCATTCATGGAGTCCACTGTCACCCAATGGGTTCATCAGAGCATGGCTTAGCAAGGCTCTGCTGGGCTCAGCAGCATGCAAATCATCTAGGGAGGGACGTGGAGGACAGAAGTCTTTCTTTCAGAAGTGACAGGGACTGTTCAAAACTGGTATCAGACCACTATTTCATGACATATTTCTGCAGACCACTGGAGCGGTCAGAACTGCCGTCATGACTTTCACAAAGAGGCCCCAGCCCCCTGCAGCCTCACAGCCTCCCTGTGCTGAGGGCGGCTCAGACTCATCAGCTTTGTGTCTGATGGGGCTAGAAAAGACCTGAGCTGCATGAAGTTCCCAGCCCATGAATTTTGGCCCAGCCGATCCATAGCGGACCCTTGCAAGTCCTGAGCAGGCTTCTCAAATTCTCTGTCTACTACATTCCTGACTCTAAAATGCAGGAGAACAGGAAAACTTGGTAATCAAATCAGTTGAAATAGAGTCACATAAAACAGGGCTGAAAAAGAACTGGAGACATTATCTATTCCCTCCATTGACAGAGAAATACCAGGAATGAGAGGCCTTAAGTAACTAGAAAATCAGATGGCACAGTGGGAAAAAGTGACCACAACAAATGAATTAGGCCAACCTACCCCCCCCTAGAGACCCAGGTTCAAATCCTGGCTTATGTCACAAGTGGAAGTGAGTTGGAGGTCTCCGAAAGTGTTTGGAAAAAATTTCCATTGTAGTTTTGTCGTCATCCTTCCCCCCCCCCCCCCCCCCCCACCGCTTTTCCCTTACAACCACAATATT